ATATACACAAAAGTATGACATAGAACAATATATACATGGAAAAGAAGAAACATAGTGAAGAAGGAAAAATACAGAGAAAGAAAAAAAAAGCAGAACATTTTAAAAGTGGGATTTCTAACTGTCTGAACAGTGAATGTATCTACAAATATGTTATTTTCGCATCCTTACTAGTGCCAATAAATATCTCCTCTACTTCTGTTTAATTAAGTATTTGACAACTACATTTTATATACACAATGTTACTTTTTGTGTTAATTCCATGTATCTAAGAAAAGGTTGCCAATCATTCTTATAATCATCCATATTCTTGTCATTTAACTGATCTGTACGTTTAGCCATCTGAGCTAGGTCCATTATCTTAATAGTCCATTCTTCAATTGTTGGGATGTTTTCTTCCTTCCATCTTGAAGCATAAATAATCCGAGCCGCAGTTGTCAGATACAGCAAGAGCTTTCCGTGTTTCTTTTCGAGTTCTTTGTCCATTAAACTCAGGAGATATAGTTCCGGTTTTTTAACTATATCAATTGCCAACTTTTGAATAGTATTGTGTATTAATGTCCAACATTTTTTGCTTTTGTGCAAGTCCACCACATATGATAGAATGTACCTATTTCCCTTCCGCATTTCCAACAAATATTTGATGTATTGTTGAACATTTTTGAAAATTTGTCTGGGGTTATGTACCATCTGTACATCATTTTATAAAAGTTCTCTTTCAGGTTGTAACTCAATGTAAATTTAAGTCCCCTAATCCACATCCACCACATATGATAGAATGTCCCTATTTCCCTTCCGCATTTCCAACAAATATTTGATGTATTGTTGAACATTTTTGAAAATTTGTCTGGGGTTATGTACCATCTGTACATCATTTTATAAAAGTTCTCTTTCAGGTTGTAACTCAATGTAAATTTAAGTCCCCTAATCCACATCCTTTCCCATTGGTCATATTCAATATTGTATCCAAAATTGTTTACCCACTTGATCATACAGTCTTTAGTTTGTACATCTTTCAATTTTAATTGTAGTAATATTTTATATATCTTGGCAATCATGTGATCAGTCTTGAAACATATTTGGCTGTGGGTTCCCATGTTTACTTCTTGAAATGTGTGTAGGCTCACAGTCCAGCCATATTCCGGTTCATGCTTATATGCTGTCCAAGGCAACATGTGGGTGTGGTCAAGAGTTCACCGTGCTGCTTAGTGGTAACTCACCAGAACAAGTTACTGAGACCTCCTGAACTGTGAAGGAGTTCAGTTATAACTGGGGCAGATTATTGTACATATGCTTTGTTTTTAGCATCTTTTATTAATTAACATGTATTCACATCTTTTATTAACTAACAGTTCATGTGCTTAGATGGGCAAGTGCCTATCAGTATGGAAGACAATTTAGGTTGTCTCCAAAATAACAGAATTTTATGCTTATTAGGGGGAATTCTCTTGTATGTTGAAGTATAGATATTTGTCCTTTAAAAGAAAAGTACATATTTTTAAAAAAAGCACTGATGGCCTGAGCATAAGTATTGGGAGCAGGTGAGTAGAGAGGGAGGGGAAAATTTGTAAGCAGGGTCTAAAGCGGAGTCTGAGATTTCTTGTTACAGATTTGGATTGGAGTGCGGCCCTCCATCCAAGCAAAATAGGTTATGGGATGGTTGTACTCCTGGGCCTCTCTTGGGATGCTGTTGAGTTGAGTGCAGGGCCTGTCAGCTTGCTGGTGATTGTGGTAGCATTTCTCAGTTGTTTGATGGCGTGCCCTGATGCTCTTTATTTTTTTCATTAAAGTCTCATTGGTGCTTTGGGGGGCTCAATGTTGCGGCCCTTGGGCTAGTGGCTCCTGGCAATCTGCATCTGAGAACCTGGTCTGAAGGAAGCAGAAACCTCCTTTTATAGGCACATTAATTCAGCCAGTGGTGGAGAGTGACCAAGACACAAACTTATGTATGTAAAATTGAAGTGGAATAGAAAACATTGAAGAGAGGAAATTGGCCTGCTTAAATCTGAATTACTGTATATAGCTACCTTTGCTAGTCAGGCCAACTTCATACCTGACATTCATTGATATTTATCACTATATGTCTTTAGAGATAAAATGGAACTGGCTCTGAAAAATCCCTGCTTCCTTCCTGAATTTTCAAAAGCAGTTTCAAAAATAAGACTGAATTTATATAACCATATTGTTTGTTTGAGTCCTGCCAATGTTGTATCTGTTACATTTGAACAGTCTCCCTTCTTTTTGCTTTCAGAAGCTTGGTTCTTGTTTCTGACGACGTCTCGCTGGTTTGCGGTACGCTTGGATGCCATATGCGCCATCTTTGTGATAGTGGTGGCCTTTGGCTCTTTGCTTCTTGCCCAGAGTAAGTTAACTTGCTGGAAATCATTATACCATTGTCTACTCTGATTTGCCTTACCAGCCTTTTCTAGTTATGTTAAGGACAGCAAGTGAATGAATTGTATCCTTCTCACAAGCCAGTTTCCTGTAATGAGACAGTACTTCCTCTAGATAATTTCTGGGCAATGTGAGTTTGTTTTGGTTGTCCGATTTGTGCCATCTTTTGTTCTTTGTTTTTATCATTGTATTATTTTATTTAACTATGTTTTTATTGGTGAACTGCCCAGTCATTGGGAGTTGGGCAGTGTAAAACTTTAACAAATTAAATCAATCAATAAGTAAATCAAATTTTGGTTAATATTGTGCTGCTACAAATGAATATACTTAAAATTCCTCTTAATTCTATTTATTTTTTATATGTAATAGGTTCCTCTTTGTCACAATTAAGAATGTATTTTTTTCCTAGAGAAACATGTTCCCTATGTACATACACAGCCTGTTTATATGTGTATTTTGTTTGCATAATTTAATTTGAGTTTTATATTTTCAATTTTCATAAGATAGATTATTAAACTTATAAAGAATTTTGAATGAACAATTTTCTCTATTTGTTTTCTTTCTCATCCCATAGCTCTTGATGCTGGACAGGTTGGCCTAGCTTTATCCTATGCAATCACTCTCACGGGAATGTTTCAGTGGGGAGTTCGGCAAAGTGCGGAAATTGAAAATCTGGTAATAGGCATTTATTCCTTTAAGTATGTAAAAAACCTGTTGCATTGGTAACCTGAAGGCATTTAGCCCTGTTGGTTCTCATATTTCCTCTAATACATCTGACTTTGCCTCCATCCTTTTGTGTTGTGGGGAGGTGAGCTATCCTGTATACAAAAAAGAAAGTTGAGAATTGTGAAGAACTTTCTGTGAAGGAGAACAAAGATGGCAACTCCTTCTTCCAGGGAGTAGGAAGAATTTCAGTCATGCTAGTCTTTTATGTTTCATACAGAGAGCATAATGTAAGCCCAGCATGGTGAGATGAATATATAAGGGGGGAAAGAGATGAGTGTATAGGTATATTTCATGTTTTTAAACTATACATTGTGAAAAGCTCTACAAAGCAAGCATCCAGTTGTCCATTGGTAACACAAGGATTATTTAAGATATGCAGGGTAGCACATTGATAAAGCAAAAAGTGTACTGTATATGCTTAATTGTTGTAGACTAATCGCATGCATATTGAACAGGCTCATGAAAAGACATAATTAAGGCTTATAAGCCCCACAGTTGTGGAGTGTTGTTTTCAGACATAGAAAACCCAGATTAACACCCAGATGTAGGTTTGTTCCAGATCTTTGAAAACAACATTGTTTCAACATTTTTATTTATTTATTTATTTATTTGATTTGTCCCCTATTCCTTCTCTGGCAAGCATATCAATTCAGGTAGAAATAAATGTTGCAAACATGTGAATTCAGTGATTCTCCTGAATTGAAAATTAATCCTCAAGTGATTACTGTATTGAAAATCAGTAAATGCCTAGGAATCAACACTTGTTTCTCTTTTTCAGATGATATCAGTGGAACGAGTAATGGAGTACGCAGAGCTGGAACAGGAAGCACCATGGCATACACACAAACGCCCACCAGTGGAGTGGCCAACTGAGGGAGCAATAGCATTTGATGATGTGAACTTTGCTTACAGTGTAGATGGTCCTCTGGTGTTGAAACATTTATCTGCTTTTATTAAATCAAAAGAAAAAGTATGTATCTGTTAATTTTACTTTTGGGTCAGAATGGTAAAATGTGTCTTATCAGTGGTTGGATTCCATAGACTTAACTTCACAAGTTACATATTTTGTTTTCAGGAAGTTCTCATGGAAGTTCTTTTCTGCCATTCCCTACCTCTTCTGTGCATACACAATTCTTTGTCATTTTGGCAGAGATCAAATTTCTCATTCTGGTCTCTTGTTTTAGCTGCTTTAGGGTCTAGGGAGAGGATGAAAAATAATGGTTATTTGTGGTGCAATTACTCAAATCAACTTTTGTTGACTCGGCAGATTGGAACAATACATATATTTGTTTTGAATAATCTGATTTCTCATTGAAGTCTAATCAAATCGATGCTGGAATAATATGTTGTTAAGTGATTTATATTACTATGTTAATTATTAACTAGTAATATATTAATATATAATCTGGTATGATAGTTAGGGTGTTAGACTAGAACTGGGGATGCCCACGTTCAAGTTCATCCTCACTGGGTGATTTTGGGCCAGTCACTCTTTCTCAATAGACACAGACCTTAACAATTTGGAGTGTTAAATACTAAGAGCAATACCTTGTCTCTCTGAATCTTAGCACATTGAAACAATTGAATGTGGCTGTAACAATCTGCCACTCACGATTCCCAAGGAAAAAAGATCTCATCGAAACCAATATGGGTTCAAAGAAAAGCTCATTTATTGAGAAGTAGACTACTTAGACTGCTAAGCTTAAGCCCGCCCGGGCCAAAAAGTTACTTTTGCCCATTTCTCAGCTCACCCCCCCTTGTCTTTTAGCCCCTAGCTCTCACAGTCCTCTCTCCGTTGCACGTTGGTATGGCCTTGAGCATTCCTGAGAATCCGATAACAGCCCATCTGCTTCTAACGGCTATGGCCACTCACCTTCCCAGCATGTCCCCCCCTTTTCTATCTGTAATGGCAGAAATGAAGCAAGTAAGCTATCAGGTTGGCTAATTGATTGTGAGGATTCTGATAGTGGCCTCCTTTAGTGCTCATTTTACAGAGACATTTGACAACCTCTCATCTCCCTAATATTTACAGGCTATTTATAACGATCAATTTATGTCTTTCAAAATTTTTTTTTTTTGCTTATAATTCTATTCTAACATACTGTGTTGCTAAGGTTCGTGCAGCAGGTTGTAAAATTTGCTAGGAATTGACTATTAGTAGATTCTGTAAAATTCTTGCTTATATAATTGCATTAGTGTGTTTCTGTCTTTATGTTTAGTCTTCTAGTTGCTTTGGTTAACGGTCTTATTGTTATAGTCTGTTAGTATGAATATTTTACTACTTTCATTTTTTTCTTTTTATAGATAGTATAGAATAATATTATACTTTACTAATTTTATAATAGCATACAATAGCTTATATATTAAGTTCAATATGTTACCATATGTATTTTTAATATGAATCATGTTACTTAGTAGTTCTTTGCAGATTTAAGACTTATAAAATGGATTTTCCAGTTCTAGGCTATAAATTTAATTTTTTAATTACCTTGTTCATAGTTTGTATTATAGACATTAGGTTTGGAACGATTCATGATCCTGTAGTTTTAAATATTATCCTATGCTGCTCCTGGACAGAAATACAATAAATCTGAAACCTTGGATTGATTCAGCCCAGGATTGTTTGCACTACCTGCAGCTTTGGCGCATCCTGCAAGGATGACTTTAAAAATATTCCAAAACAGCTTGTACAAGCCATTAGAGAGGGAGGTTAGGTTTCTGGTTAGGTTTGTGGGCTAAATTAAATGCCCTCTTAGCTCTCTTCTGGGATGGTACCTCCCATTTTATAAACTGCTTCTTCATCCCCCTAATTCCTAGTTAATCTCAGAAAGAATAATTCTATTTTTTTTTAAATGCAGCATGGCTTTTATTTTGCAGAGATGGCTTCATGGGGAAGCAAAAACCTCTGAGAGTTTATGCAGTGTATCTCTTTATCGCTTGTGTACTTCTACTTGCCTTTGGGCCAACTCTTGCAGTGGTCCTAAGCTCTTCTAACAGTGGATAAGGATTTAGACTTCATGCAAAGTGACAAACAAAACGAAGCATAACTAGGAAGAGAGGGAATATGTTGCTTAGACAGCAGCTGAATGTTGCCTGCATTTTTAAGGCACTTGGTTTTCTTTACTTTGACTCTTCTTTTCTTGGTTTCTTTTTAGTTGGAGGGATAAAGCTGTTGGCTTGGTAGGCTTGCATGTTTAAGCCTTTCTTTATCTCAACAGAGGCATCTGTTTTAGAAAAGTGTGTTGTTGTTGTGTAAAAGCTAGATTGTGTGCTTTGCTGGCCTGCATTTATTCTATTTGTTCTCTGTGATTGATGTTCAAATGATGGGATGGGAAAAGCTCTTGCTTTCCAACCTTTCCAGTAACAGAGAACACATGGTTTGCATTCAAAAGCTATTGGGTTCAACCCCAACATCTCAGGTAATCCTCACAAGAGTCCTGGAGAGATTCTGCCAGTCAGTATGAAAAATGCAGAGCTAAATCAACCTAGCTTCCTATTTTCTTATATCCTGTTTGGTCTAGATATGATGAATTTCAAGGAAAAAAATCCCTTGCTTACCCATATCTACCTTAATCCTTAGTCAGATCAGGCTTCCTGGATTTATTATTGTGCAACTGTTTCTTTAACGCAGGAATGTTAGGCACATCAGGTAACATGCATTGTATAGAAGAGTGATTCTGATTAGAGTCTCTTGTCTAGAAGGTGGCAGCCCCTTTCCAGCCTGGGCTGGGCTAGGAAGCTAAGAGGGATGGGGCTGTTTAGGATTTGAATGGATGACCACCAGGGAATACAAGGCTATAAGTAATATATCTCTAAAATCCTGGAAGAAGAAAATCACAAATCACTTCCTTATGGTTGCTAACAAAACCTAGATAGGCATCCAGAAGTACATTTTAATTTTCTCTCCCATTACATCTTAAGACCGTAACTAAATTCAAACTCAGTAGTTTCTTTTTTAGCTATCTCCCCCAACCCCTAATTGGCTTAACATTTAAACTTATTAAGAATTCTAGGATTTGCTTGCTGTTCGTGATGTTTTGGCTGTCTCAGTAAAGATATTGGCATGTTACCCTTTTGTGTAAATTTAACTAACCCAGGTATGTGACAAAATGAGGCTAATAGTTTAATTTCTTGGCCTTCATTCTTAAGGAAGACTTTCTTTGCCTTTCTTAAAGTCAGACCTACAGACAATTCTCCCTACAAGAGGGGCAGGAGAAGTGTGTTGAATAGGGCAGCATTAACAAATAGAGCAATTTGTTAATGGCGTTTTAAAATATATAATTTATAGTAAGAATTATTTGAACTGCCCTAGTTTTTCCTTTGCTCTTAGAGCAAACACTTTCCACAATGATAAACAGCTTTTTTAAAAATATGTTTGCTGTGTTGATGCCAGTCTGAAAGAAAAATATGTAACAATGAACAGAACAGCTGCATTCTTATTTTAAGTATCAGTTTTGATAAAGTGCTTTTATCCTGCTAATGCAGTACTGTACATCAGTGGCACCAGAGGAGACACTCTTTTGTTTTTATACAAACCCTGCATAGCTGGCTTTGCTCTTTTTCTTTCCTTTCCCCACTCCTTCTCCATACTTTTTAAAATCTTCCTCTTTCAAATCAAATCTCTATTACAGTCATAGATCAGCATATCTTCTTTTCTTCTGAAGCAAATTTCTTTCAGTGGATCTTCTTTTGGAGGACTTAGTATCTCTCTCCCCTCTACTCCCTGTAAAACCTAAACTAGAAGAATTTTCTTACATCATTCATGCATTCTTTTCCATGCATATTTAAATAAATATTTTAAATATTGTGTTGCTCTCCAACAAGATATTTGAAAAGTAAAGTCTCCCTCAAATGGAGTCCATCATGAACATATCTGTGCTGTTTTCTTAGCAGGAATGAAGAAGTGGTTTGCTGCTGCTGCTGCTTTGGGGAATATATTTAGTGACTTTACAGTCTGGCCTACATCTCTGGGATCTTCTGGTGGTTTCCCTTCTAAGGCAAAGCAGATCTGACTTTGCTTAGTGTTTTTGTGATCAGCCAAGGTCCCTCAGGAGCTTCCATCTGCAGTTTTGCAGGGAGAGGGAGACTTCCTGTTGTTGCAAAGAGAAGGGTAAAACAATTTACCCAAGTGAAGAAAGGCAGCTGGTAGGCTTTGGTGGTGGCAAGGGAAATTTGAAGAATTTGTGAATGTTGCTGTGATCTTACGCCAGGCAACACCTCCCAGTAAACTGTGAATGGGAATTCAGAATCGCACTGCTCCAGATTTCGTAGAATACTTCTTGATTAAAAAGATATACTGATGGAGATAAAAAGCAACACTTTCCAATTAAAGATGCAAGGAATACGTACATTAAGAGAAAATGCATTTAAAAGGTATAATGTTGTTGACAAACTTTCATGCAGAATTTTTTTTTTAAATTGAGGGTTAATTCAGAAATGGATTAAATGGTGTTAACATCGATCATGTGAAATTCACATTGTTGAAATCTGACTTCTCAGCTCATCTGAAAATAATTCTTAAGTTTACAGATCTTGTTTCTGATTTTTCTGTTCTTTCTCCAACATGGCACAAAGTTCAGGGACAACATTCTCTTTTCTAAAACAGAAAATCTAAAATGTTGTATCTATTTTAGCATTGTTGGTTTTTAGGAAATCAGAGTAATTTTAAGCATTTGGTTTAGATATTTTAATTATGAAGTTGGGGTCTAATTCAGTTTCAGTATAGCTATTTGAATTTTCATAGAATAGTATTAAAATATTTATTTTTAATGAAGAAATAAAAAGTGGAAAGTGAATTATTAAATGAGCTGGAGGAAGCTGGGCTGGACGAAGAGTGTGGTTTTAAAAGTGTAGAAGAAGAAACATCAGTAGCCCGTGCTGTACTGATGTCACTAATCTGATAGCAGAAAATGCAAATGATCTGCAAGCTCTAGTAATGAAAGTCAGGGAACACAGTGGAAAATGGTACTACAATTAAATATAACGAAGAGTTAACTAATGACAACAGCTACAACAATCAGCCTCAGAACTGATAGTGGAGATATTGTGGTGGATAGTTTCTACTTTTTAGGATCAGTCATTAGCAATAAAAGATCCAGTGATCAATATACTATAGATTTACACTTGGTTGGGTAGCAGTTAAGGCCTTAGAAAAAATATTCAGATGCCAAGATCTGTCTATGCCTAGAAAGATTAGAATTGTTCAGATGAAGGTTTTCCTCATGACCCCATAGGAATATGAAAGTTGGAGTTTGAAAAAGTAGTATAGAAAGAGTATTGATGCTTTTAAACTTTGGTGTTGGAGAAGACTCTTGAGGATATGATGGATAACCAGGAAGACCACAAATCAATCCAGAATTTTCACTCAAGACAACAATGACTGGGCAAACTGTCATATTTTGGACATGTTATGTGAAGACCCAGAGAAGTTCATAATTCTGGGGAAAGTTGAAGGAAAAAGAAGTGGATGACTGGCAGCAAGATGGATAGACTTGGTTTCAACAGCAATGAATGCACACCACCTAAAAGGCCAATTTTAAGACAGATCATCCTAGAGAGAATCCATCTATGTGGTCTCTAAAAGTTGACACCAACTTGATGGCACTTAATCAGTCAATTACTTGTTCTTCTCTCTTTGCTGATTAATAAACACAATACAACTAATTCTTGTCTCTCAGATGGGTGAACTGGAAATTGATAAGTAGACCTTGGACCTAGCAAAACTGTTTCAAGTTTCTTAGTGTAAAAGAAATACATGTTTATTCTTGGGTTCCTGATTTTATGACAGAAGGAAGAAAGAAAGACTAGCCATGAGATTTACTCTGAGGATTGTGAGACAAAAGCACTGTTATTCCTATCCCAAAGAAAATGTTAATAATGTTTTATAAGTCACCCAGGCCCTGAAGGTAGACAATGATAGTTTCAGAAACATATATAAAATTGCATTAAAATTTAAGTTCAATTTAAACAGCTGGAATAAGATAGTCATGCCTTAAGGGAGAGAGTAAAAGTCCTAATAAATAAATGCCAGCTCTTTCACATTTGCTGAGGGAAAGCATTTGTTTGATTCCTATTTCACATGAAAAAAATAAACTAAAATCCTATGCTTGTCAAACCATATGTTTAGATCATTCAAATGCTGTGAAAATCTTCCTTTAAAAAAATGTCTATGTATCTTTTGTAGACTAATATCTACCTTGTACATCTTGCCTTACAAGAACTAAAATACATGAGATAATTATAAGCAGTCCTTTAGAAATGCCTTCTTCATCTTAGTGTGTGGGTTTTTGTTTTTTTGTTTTTTGTTTGTCTTTCAGGTTGGAATTGTGGGAAGAACAGGAGCTGGAAAAAGCTCCCTAATAGCGGCTCTTTTCCGGTTGGCTGAGCCCCAAGGAAGAATTTGGATTGATAAATATTTGACATCAGAACTAGGACTTCATGACTTGAGGAAGAAAATTTCAATCATACCTCAGGTATTGGTCTGCTATGCGTATCAGCCTATTTTAGAAGTCCATCCAGCACTCTCTAGAAACCTTAGGGTTGTAAATTTTTCTTTATCTTTCTTCTGCACTCTGCTGGTTATATGCCAGGAATCTTATAGAGTAGCGTGATGTCTCTGTGTATGTTAATCCTCTCTTCTTGAATGATGACTGAAAATGAAGTGAAATTATTATGACTATTTTAAGAGGTTCATTATCTATGTTTCTGTCATGCCCAAACAGCTTTCTTTCAGTCATTAGTTATGACTACAGATTGAATTTAGTTTAAAGACTGAAATGATGCATTCTGTATCATGGACATAAAATGTTTTAGAGCAGAAATTATTCTGACAAATAGAGGAGAGTGTGTGTGTGTGTGTGTGTACACACACACTCACAGTGTCTCTGTCCTCTCAAATATGCACACATAAAATGAAACAAGACTTTGTGGGCCAATGTACTGTGAATCAGAGCCTATTCCTGGCATTTTGGACTTCACTGAGAATATAATTTCAGTTAGTAGAAAATTGATAATCCTTATTTGGCTTTAGGTGACATTCCAGAATATGAATGTTTTGCTCTGAGCTGCCTTGGAAGACTCAAAATGGCTATTTGGAGCAAGGAAATTATTGCTCATAATACCCTCAAATATAATAAATTAACTCCGTTGCTGCTCTGAAAAGCTATCAGTTCCAATTGCCCAGGTTCATTTGCTCCACCCTAAATAAGTAACAGTATAACCACGTTGACCAGTACCGTTGCCCCAAGAAGGTCTAGTCAGATCTCCATCCCTTCAAAGGCATATGTCTGGCCATCTTTCCTGTGAACTATGTTTGTTCAAACTGAAAAGCAATCCTCTCAGTCGCCCAGGGGTGAGGGGGGTTGGTGCCCCAGGAATGGGAGCAGAGTGGGTATGTGTCCATATCCTGGTTGCTTTTTAAAATAAAAAACAGATTGCCTAGTGGTGACAGTGGGGGTCAATGAAATTTAACCCCAGGTAGTGGCTTGAAAAGGAGCCATGGGACTTTTAGATTTTTATCTTTGCTCTTGGACATCATAATGCTCAACTTTTTGATACCCGCCCAAGTCCTCTGAGCAGGCATGGGGGTAGATGTCAGACATAAATTTTCCCCATCCAAATGTGGAGCTTTCTCTCCTACAGAAGGGGAAAGTCAAAAACCCTGTGATCCCTGCGCATCCTGGTTGTCATGTGGCTTCAGCTTAAAATATATATTGCACTCAATAAAATAATGAAACAGCGGTGTTCATTTCACTAGATCAATTTGATATGTGACAACTGATTACAACTGTTGATATGTGACAACAATAGGATTGTTACAATCATAAAACAATGAACACCGTTCGTCCTCTGTTAAGATTTTCTGGCCATCAGCAAGGATTATGGAAATGGCTACATTTGTTGTAGGACTTCCCAGTCCTTCCTCCCTGTAATCTGTCTTCCTTGTCAAGGCTAAAAACTACAAATACACAAAGCACAAATCCGGCGACCTAACTTTGTGGCAGATTAGCAGCCACGTTCTCCCTTAAAACCTGGGGCAGGGACCTTCTGCCAGTTCCCTGTACTTCATCACTTGAGTTGAGTTCTGTTCTGCCTGACCCAGACTGAGCCTGGGGAACCTGGACTAAATGACAAGGTGCCTGGAATCTGCTGCATCGTGATGCATATAAAGGTTGTAGGGGTTTCCTTGAGACTTTTTTTTCCTTTCTCATTGCTTTTTGTTTTTTGTTTTGAACTACCATGATAAAAAGTTAAGCAAGCAGTTTGGTTCTCTAAAAGCGTTCTTTGCCTTATCCTCCCTTTGCCCCTGCCTCAAAGAACAGAAAGCACAGAAAGAGGTAGGTATGCTATTACTAGCAAATAAATACAATTGGATTGTAGCCTAATGCAAGCTCTCTCTTTGTTTCTGAATGCTGAAGGCTTCGTTAATGCACAGTAGTGCTGCTGAGTGAAGTTGATGACCTTTTTGTTCCTAAGAGGACTTTACATGGACTTAAATTCTTCTGGCTTTGTGTTTGCACAATATTCTTTTCTCTTGAGAACAGATGACGATCTGTTCATTCAATAGCTGCAAGGTTTTGAAAGCTTTTTTCTAGCTATTTCAGGTGGGAACCGTATTGTATAATACTGGATTTTTTCCCCAGAAAAAAAAAATTGCATCTTTACAAGGGAGGATATTTTCCTACACTAATTCTACTTTCCATCCTATTTATTGTTACATATATTATTGCTATATGTTTCTTGTTCAGGAATTACAGTTAAAAACAAAACAAAAAGTGCCTTGTCTATTATCTTGTCAGTATAAACAAGATTTAATTAAATTCACAGGGGACAGTTTCATTTGTCTAAAGGTGTTTAGTTACTTTTTAGATTAAAGGAGGCTTCTTTTCTTATTGTCAGTGGAGCATAAAAGCCAGCAACAGTTGTATGTTTGGGCTTGGAAGATGCTGATCATACTAACAGCAAACTATATTGCGACAGAGTTCAATAATTATTGTGTTTGTGCTGAAAAAAGCTGCATAGTATGACCATATACAGTATATTTTCCATCTCTGTCTTGCACAAATTCTTCCTCTATTTTTGCAGCATTAACCATGGTGTGATGAGGTATGTGTTGCATGAAAAAAGTTTGACTAGTTTGACAGGTTAGAATTGTTTGACAAGTGAGATTTAAGGTTTTCTTTAACTTTGTCATGTCAGAATGTTTTGGGATAAGATTCCTCCCCATTCACTACTTCATTTAAATTAAGTGTTTATGTTGCAGACCCCGATAGCGAGAGAATGTCGGCTGGTGGGGCCCAGAAGGAGAGCCTTCTCTGCCATTGCCCCCGCCTTTGGAATATTTTCCCCCCAGAGGTGTGGCAGGCCCCTACCCTCCCGGCTTTCTGGAAAGGATTATAGACCTGGCTCTGCCAGCTTGTGTGGGGTGACAAGAATCTTACCCAATCCTGGGGGTGGCTGGCACCTTGATGACACTCCCCGAGTTACTGCCAATTTTAACATCTATCCTTGGATTATATTTATTTCCTATTTATTTAGGATTATTTTATACTGTGATTTTAATTGATTTTAACTGCATTGTAAACCGCCCAGAGTAATTTTTTAATGAGATGGGCAGTGACAAATTGATATATAAAAATATACAGTATATAAAAAATATTTTGAAGTTGATTCTATAGATGGGCTTTGATTAGTTGGTTGATTTTATTCATGTAAGGCACTTTACAGGCCACTTAAAATCAAAAGATAGGATAAAGCTTTGAAATAATATTGTTTGCTAAACTGAGTTATCCTGCTCTCCCCCATCCAAAAGCAAACCTATGGAATTTTTTTCTATCTCCCATCCACCAGCCATTTCTTATGCTGATTTCAAGCAACCTTAATAATGCAAATCATATTCATATAGTGTTCAATAAAAATTCCATACATTCTACTTCACTGTTATGGATGCGATGGGAAGGCTAATATATTTTCGCTACCTATCACATTCCTTCATGCATCTCTAAGTATCATGAATACGCTGGTGGAATTATGCAGAAAATCTGCTTCTGACCACCCAGTTCAATTCAGAGTGAGATAAAAAATGCCTTTTGTTGCTTTTTAATATAAATCAATCTAATTTGGCCTTCTGAGTGGTTATATGAACCAGAACAGATGCATCCTTTAGTTTTTGCATTTCTCCAAATGTTGCAGTGCAATTGTATAATATAAAATGAGTATCCAAAACATGTACAATATGGAAATCAATCAATTAATTAATTAGATATGCAGGCTGCCCAACTCCAAGTGACTCTGGGTGGTCATAGCATATAAACACTAAATTAAAATGTATATGGACTTTTCTCTGTGTGAAAACTCACATGTATGTATGCCTATGAATGTGTGTGATTTTTTGTGAAGATTTTATAGAAAATAATTTGCAAATGAGAAAAAATTGGGACAGATTTGTCCATTTTATTTTTTCTAGTAGCTGATCTACTTTTTATTGATATTTTCAAGGAGCCAGGTTAGTTTTCCTGGAATATCTTTTGAAAACCATTTCTCATTTGAACAAATTGAATCACAAGTTGATGTAGAAATGCATTCACTGTCAGCTCATGAATCCTTGTCTCTCAAGTGTTGCTTCCCATCTCAGGTCTTGGCTTATGCTAATCATAGTTTGTCCTAAAATCTAAGTTTTGAATAATACTTTTAGGCAATTTTTATTATGCTACTTTGGTTTTGACAGCAAACCGGGAGGTGGGGAGGGGGACCTATCAAGAAGAAGAGAGAAATTATGAGAGTCTGTGAAGTGTTTCTAATTGCCAAATGGTGCCTCCTGAAAACAGTACTACAAGCAGTTTTTCTCAGGATAAGCCTATTGGATGGGTTGACTCTGGTTAGAGAAAGCTATTGTGAAGGCATTGTAGGTGCCAAGCCATAAAGGGCTTTATAGGTTAAAATCATCACTATCAATTGCACCTGAAAGCCTACTGGAAGCCATTGCAGGGCCCACAACTTCGCTGTAATATGATCCTGATGACATGTGCCAGGTAGCACATGAAGTGCTGCATTCTGAATCAATTGCATATCTGAGTGGCATTTAAAGGTAGCCCCATATATCACAAAGTGTACTAGTTTCTTAGATCTGTATTTATAATGATTACTGAGATAATAATCTTCCAGGACTTAGTGCTGGTTAACTTCTAATTCAATGTTTTTCAACCTTGGCAACTTTAAGATGTGTGGACTTCAACTCCCAGAATTCCCCAACCAGCATACCACTTCATGAAACTTTTACTAGCTTCCACCAGTGTTTTGAGGCAATGGTATCTATTTTTCTGGTTGTAATTTATTATTTTTTACAGGTTTAACTTATAAACTTCCTCTCGTGAAACAGGAAATTTTTATATAATATTATCTGCCAGGAATGGAAATTAAAACTACCCTTATCTTCTTCTGCAATACATGTATGCTGCTACAATTTTATTTTATGATTTCAAAGATTTTATGAATTCAAATTTTCCATTTTGCCAAAACTGTAAAAAAATGTTGAAATGGAAATTCATCTCCACAATATCTTGAATTTACATTTAATACCATAATTTAAGAAGATTTTTTAAAGATTTTGGATATTTTTTAAAAAAAACAGCCTTTTTAATGCTTTATTGGGCCCATTTGATAACAGCTTTTGTAATTAAAATTACCCTGCAGGAATTGCTGTTCTTGAAATGAAAAATCTATTTCATAGTCTTGTATTTGAAAGGAGAATACAAAACTATATTATACTGCACATTTCTTTTGCCTGTGTTGATTTTTACGGACCTTATAACTTGGCAGAAATGCTTTGAAAGTATTTTATCCGAAGAGCATTGCAACTTGGCATACTATGCTACCCCATTAAAATAAAAATAGCTTCATGGGTTGTAATCTGTTGGCAGTTAATCATTGCACTACACTCTTTCTTTACCTGTGTATATGCTTCTTATAAAAACGATTAAAGACACTTGGGACAGTTGAATATCTCTAGGCTATATTGAGCTATTATGCTAAGCTGCAATGTGTATCCTGAAGTGAGCCTGTCAGAAGAAACTGGAGTCATTTCATAACTATAGTACTCACCTATGGGGCAAATTGCACAGATTTGCAGTACCTAGTTTAACCTTATGGGCTTAATTTTACAAATGTTTTATAATGACTACTGCTGATTATTATAATGACTGGGATTGGTTTTTAAGCATTTATTCCAGGCAGTTCCCCCCCCCACCCCCCCACCCCATTCTATTTA